GATCAGATTTTGTGCAAAATTTTGTAAATCTGTTTCACCGATCACTACAACTGAACAGACGCTCAGAACAACCAAAATATATAAAAGTGAAGACATTTTCAAACAATTCTTGATATTTGACTCAATTATCAATATTTAATTCAATTTATTCAATGATTTTTTAAACTAATTATTTCATAAAAATTGTCTCTCTATTTATACCTAAGAATCGATTAAAACGTAACACTTTTATCACTTATTCAATGACTAATTGTTTTGATAAACGATTTCATGAATGTATTGTTATTAAGAAACTGATAAAAGACAAGTTCTTTGGGTTTATCTTTTAATAAAATAATATGTCTTTATTCTCGTCACAATAATTCATTGACACCTTTAATATGTTTGTATATTATGATGATTACAATTAGTTAATGAAATAAATAATTGTTTACAAACTGAAGAACTTAAAGAAACTGATAAAAGACGAGTGCTTTGGGTTTATCTTTGAAAGCCATATATGTCTTAATACTTGTCACAAATAATAACATTTAATACTTTTATTGAATAATGATTACAAACAATATTTGCAATAATTCTTTGTTTTCAAAGTTATGCACTTGGTCAGTTATATTTTAGGTGCGAATTGTACCAAAAATTCATATCAAAACAAATCTGAGAAAAAATAAGTATATTATTATAGTATAAGTCAACAAATAGTTTGACGTGATTTTAGTTAATTTGTGTAAAAATTTCAAACCTATTACTTAACACTTATCTTAAGACTCACGTTTCCCATCATTTTCATTGCAATCAAAAGTATATATAAAGAGATTTTATATTTAAAACAATTCAGAAAAAAATAAAATTTCTATAATTATTTAAATTATTAGTAAAGAATTCAGTATTTTTGATTAAAAATGGTTAAGATATTGATAGCATTGGTGTCAGCCTTAGTCTTGGTGTCAGCCAAACCTACCGATGATTTGGAAACAATCGCTAATAATATGATTTCAAAGTAATACTCATTTTAAAAATAAAAACTGTATAATATTTTTAAATATTCTTAATATTTTAATTTATTGACAGAATTCCGGCACATTTTGGTGGAAAGGCTGACCACAACTCCATTAGTGATAATCTACTGAAGAGACCGTCCAATGGAGTGAATGACAAGAATTGGGAATTCCTTTCTCTAGGAATCGGAGGTTTCGGAGGACTGAAAGTGTCGGTCACGAGAGGGGACAGTCAGGTGAACGTCAGTACTATTTATGGTTTGGGCGCCGGATCTCTGACTGTCGCTGAAAGTGAGACACAAAATGGCA